AACGGGGCACGAACCCGCGCCCCCCGCACCGGCAGGCGGACCCCCAAGCACTGCGCCACCAGGGAAGCCCGGAAGTGCAGAGTCTTAACCACTAGACCCTCAGGGAAGTCCCCCAACTAGTATTTATTTATTTATTTATTTTAAAATATTTATTTATTTATTTATTTATTTATTTGGCTGCATTGGGTCTTAGTTAAGGCACACAGGATCATTGTTGTGGCATGTGGGATCTTTCGTTGCAGTGTGCGGGCTTCTCTCTAGTTGTAGTGGGTGGGCTCCAGAGCATGTGGGCTCAGTAGTTGCAGTGTGTGGGCCCTCTAGTTGTGGCCCACAGGCTTAGTTGCCCCACAGCATGTGGGATCTTAGTTCCCCGACCAGGGATTGAACTCGCGTCCCCTGCATTGGAAGGCGGATTCTTAAACAGTGGATCACCAGGGAAGTCCTCCAGCTGGTATTTAGAGACAACCACTTTGGAGTCAGGCTCCCTGGGCCACAGATCTGGAATGATAGATCTGACACTGATTCGTTGGGTAAAATGGCACAAGTCACTCTGCATCCCTGAGCCTCAGTTTCCTCATCTGTACAAGGGGTGTGATGATGGCACCCAGTGAGAAGGAGAACAGCATGTACAAAGGCCCTGAGGTGGAGTTGCGCCCTAGTCTTTAGAGCCACATGGAAGAGGTGGGCAGCTGGAGTGGAGTGATTAAGGAAGACAATAGGAGGAGGGGACGGCAGGGAGGTGACAAGATCAGATCATGCAGGGCCTTGTGGGCCACAGTGAGGACTTTGGCTTTTACTCTGAATGAGGTGGGAGCCATGAAGGATTCTAAGCAGAGGAGGGAGCTGATCTGATTCGGGTGTTCCCAGGCTCCTTCTGACCATCGAGGGGAAAACAAACTGTGAGGGGTGAGGGCGGGAGCTGGGAGACCAGGTATGATGGTGGCTGGACTGGAAATAGGCAAAGAGGAGTGGAGAAACCCGCCAGTCTTTGCTCATCTTCACGTTTTCTGCCCAGCAGCTGCCAGCAGCCTGAAAGGAGCCTGGAGGCAAGGACTTTAGCCTGGGAGGCTGCAGGTTGCAGCAAGAGTGACCCGGGGTGGGGCACACCAGGGCGTGATGAGCAGGGTTACACCTGGCATCTCCCGGGCCAAAGTGGCTGGACCACTTGGGAAGGTGCGTGGGCTGCTGACACACGTGTGCACATATCACATGCCAGGCTGGGAGCCACCCTCCTGTGCCCTCAGGAGCCTGGGGCCCCACAGTCCAGGCCTCCCTCCTGTGGGCTCAGGATCTGACACTGATCCACTGGGCAACTGGGGCAAGTCACTCTGCTTCTCTGGGCCTCAGTTTTCTTTCTTTTTTTTTTTTTTAAAGATCTTTTTTGGTGTGGACCATTTTTAAAGTCTTTATTGAATTGGTTACAATATATATTTTTTAAATTTTACTTATTTATTTTTATTGTTGGCCGTGTTGGGTCTTCGTTGCTGTGCACAGGCTTTCTCTAGTTGTGCTGAGTGGGGGCAACTCTTCACTGTGGTGCACGGGCTTCTCATTGCAGTGGTTTCTCTTGTTGCGGAGCACGGGCCCTAGGAGCGCAGGCTTCAGTAGTTGTGGTCCACTGTCTTAGTTAGTCCGTGGCGTGTGGGAGTTTCCCGGACCAGGGCCCCGCCGTGTCTGGCAGGCGGATTCTTAACCACTGCACCACCAGGGAGGTCCAAATTTGTTACAATATTGCTTCTGTTTTATGTTTTGGTTTTTTGGCTGAGGCATGTGGGATCTTAGCTCCCCGACCAGGGATCGAACCCTCACCCCCTTTATTGGAAGGTGAAATTGTAACCACTGGACCACCAGGGAAGTCCTGGGCCTCTGTTTCCTCATCTGTAAAAGGGGGGAATAATGACAGCACTCATACACAAGAATGGGAACAGCACATGCAAAGGCCCTGAGGTAGAGCTGAGCCCTAGCATTCTTCAGCCCCCAGTTCCTAGGGCCTTTTCTAACCAGGGCTAGAAGGGCCATCAGGAGGAGGCACCTGGGCATGCAAACCCTGGGAGGTGAGCAAGAAATTGGCACATGCAGATGCTGAGTGGGGGCTGGAGAATCCACTAAGACTGCTGCCTTGGGGCTGGCAGAGGAACCTTTGGGGAGAGATTTTAGACCACATACTGGCCAAGACATCCGCACATCCTCCTTGCACTGGAGGCGGCTGGGCCGGTCCAGCCTCCCAGACTGGCTCACTCAGGTCCCACCACCGGGTCCTGTGTCACATCTCCTAGCGCCTCGGAGCCCAACTGGACTCCTCTGCCCTCACCCCAGACTGGGGCACATCCCATGGAGACCCCTAGGTAAGCGCCTGAACATCCCTGTGCCTCAGTTTACTCATCTGTAAAATGGCGGAAAGGATAGGTCCTCCCACATATCAGAACTAGAGGGCCGTGCTTAATAAACGCTCGAGATTATAATTATTATGGTGATTATAGTGATTGCTAGCCAGAGGGCAGAAAGAGCAGCCCCCGGGGGAAGTCCGAGGCCCCCAGCCTCAGTCCCGTTTCCTCTCCTTCCCCTGCCCACCTCAGTTTCCCCAGGCCAGCCTCCAGGGCCGCAAAGGCGGCCGGGGGACCCGCGCCCACTCCGGCCGGCAGGGGCAGCACGGAGCGGCCCGGGACACCCGGAAGGGCCCCGCCCCCGGCCCCGCCCAGCCCGGGCTGCCCAGAACCGGGAGGCGGCGGTGGCGGCGGCCACGGCGGGGACGGTGCGCGCGGCTGCAGCGGCGGAGCCGGCGGCTGGACGCGCGGAGCGCCATGGCGGTTGCCGAGCGCCGCGCCTTCGCGCACAAGATCAACAGGTAGTGCGGCCGCCGGGCCCCCTCCCGGGCCGCCCCCACGTGTCCGAGCCCCGCCCCGGGGCGGCCCGGCCCTCCCCCTCCTGGGCGCCCCCCATTCAAGCTCCTTCCGCCTTGGCCAGCTCCGGCCCGTTTCCTCCGGCCGGGGGCGCAGGCGTGGGGAGG